AAAAATGGAATAAAAACCCCGGCAAATTTCCTATTGATTTTTAATTGATATGCAATCTTGTTTTATAAAAAGAAAGATTTTTTTCAGTGATTTTGCTTTTCTGTAAACAAATTTGGATATACATATGCATGTGCATATTTGCATATGTATTTTTCTTTGATTACCCTGCTGAATAAATTGCCATCAACCTAAATCATCTCCAAATGTCCCTAATCTCTATAATATCAAGGAAGCCATCATGTACAAACATTCAGAAATATCATTTAACACCATTCACAATAAAGTAAAAAATTTATTATAACAATTATCTATGTGGATCGCTTTCTTATATTGTTTCTATTTCACATTGTTCTTTGAATTCCATAGATGAAAAATGGTACATAATTTTCAACATTTTTATTTTCTCTGCTGAACAGAGCTCTAGGCTGTTTGTAATTACCCCAATACTAAATGGCTTTTAAATGTTTTTTGAAAAATCCCACCCTCTTTTCATTTTATTTTTGATGCCCCTTCCTCTCTCTCTAGCCTGTGCTTAGTGGCCCCACCCTCCAATAGGTGAATAGGATGGTTATGGAGAAAAGTCGCTGTTGTTTGTACCCAACCACAATCAATACCATTCAGTTCGATCCTAAATTTTCATTTATCTGCAACTGGGGAACTAGGTACAGATCTTGATCAGTATTTCTAAGATATTAGAATGTCTAAGATTTAACCAGCATATTAAGATACAGATTTCTGCCCCTATTCTAATTATCTAGGTCTGAGGTCAAGCCAGAAATTGGTACTTTAATAAAAATACCAGGTTATTTCTGTTATAAAGCACTTCTAAGAAATAGTGAGTCTGGCGTGGAAATTTGAAAATGTTCTTTAGCACCAGTTTGCCGAGGACTTCCGTAAAAGTATCTGAAACTTTAGTTAGAAGTTTGATAAGGGAAGATAGCTAGAGAAAATTGATAAAGTAGGAAGACATCGAAAAAGAAGAGGACCACCAAGCAGCAGGGAACGATCATGAGTCCCATCCACATGCAGCTCTAAAGACTACTAAGGTCCTGCCCACTTTCTAATATCCCCTTAGCATTGTGCCTGGATAGACACGGGAGGTTGTGGCTATGTAGCTTAGGTTTGCAGAGAAGGGTGACTGCACAAAGTTGGCTCTACACCAGTACAGTTGAAAGCATTATGGCCAAGGGGTATGGTTACAAAGCATGGACTGAAAAATAAGAAGAGATAATTGAGTCTGGGTAAACAAAACAAAACCCTGAGCCTGCAGTCAGTGGAAGTGGGCAGGAGACAGAAAAGGTCTTGCTTTCCTGCCGTCAGTTGGAAGTTCCATTCAACTGCCCCTGCTGGGCATTCCATTCTATTGAGCATGCCCAGTTAGTGTGACTAATTTTCACCAAGTAGAACAATCCGCAAGATCACCATAAAGGCTTTACCAACATCAAGCCAGTAAAGTGACCACTGAAAACCGTTCCCAAATTCTTGACCAATGGACCCAATTTTAGGGAGAGTACCTCCTTTGGACTACAACAATGGTTTGGGACTCAGTCTCTAATTTCTTCCTTTTCCTCAGAAACTCTGGTCTCCAGCACAGGGACAAGGTTTGGTGAGATGCAGCCATTTTGTTGGACAGGAGGAGCTCAGAAGCAAGAAAATGTCGTATGATAGAACACAGGGTTATTCTCCTCAACAGCAAGCCACCACCGGGAGCTCCCAGGTCATTGTGCCAATCAAGAGGAAGAGGGACGTGCAGTTAGACAACCTTATGTGAACCTCATAAGAGAAAAGTGCCAACGTGCTTCTTTGATTGTTTTCTTTTTTTAGTTGTACCCTTTGTGATACTTAAGTGCTACCTTGTAGGAGAGCTTGACACGCCAAGACATGGCTCGTGCCCTGGAGGAGCCCCTAGGTAAATGTCTTCAGATGGTGCAGGGTTCGGGCCCTGCTGAGGGTTGCGTGTTTGTGTGATCATATGCACATGTATGGAGGATGGTGTGAGATATTATATTCAAAGTTTTAAGAAATGTCATGCTAAAATAAGACACTTTCTATCTATTCTCCCTTTCAATCTATTCTTTTATTCCAAAATAATGAAGGTATGTTGATTGTATGGGACCAATGCTAGACGGACGAAGGAGTCCAGGGGATAACTGTGACTTACCTGCTTTAACCACTTAAAGTCTGCTGAGGAGAAAGTGGCTACCTAAAAAAGAAAGGCAGATTCTCAATTAACTTTTAATCCTGTAATAAAAGTTCTTTGGGAATATTTTCAAGTGTGGCTCCCTTTTGAATTTACAAAAACACTGTCCTAAAGGGGTGAGGATTTTTTCAAAGCTCATGAGAAATAACCTCCCCCAAAGCATTTTGTCAGGTGGCCTAAAAAATCCTCACTTGCTTTGACAATTTTTTTTTTAGTTTTCTGAAAGGGCAAGGCAAAAATGTAATCAGAAAACAGCAAAGTCCCATTGAGCACAGTCTCTGATAAGGGACTTGGCAAGGCAAGGAAGGTGGATAAGTCAGAAGACAATGTAGAAAAGAAAAGATTCACAGAGTGGAGCTGAAAATAAACAGCTACACAGCATAAGTGCCTTCATTTCAGGCACAGAAGGGACTCAGCCCATGGAATTTTGGAGCCAGGCCTTGCTAGAAAGACAGTTAAGTACAGGGGCCACCCACTTAACTAAGGATAAACAGGAATCCAATAATTATATTTTCCCCTCCACATTTAATTTGAAATGTTTAAGTATTATTTTTTACTCAGCCTGGTTTCCAAATATGCCAGGGACATGAAATATGAGTAAGATATAGCCCTTGCTAGCAAAGGGCTAGCAGTCCCTGTTGAGGGAGACGGGGGAAATAAAACTTTGATGATAGCAGTCACATTTCTGCACATGTCTTAACTATTTTTTCTGTACATTCTAGAACTATTTGGAGATATAAACCTCACTATCAGCATGCTGAACAAGGAAGATAATATTATCAAGGTAGGGCAAAAGAGAAAATTATCTTTTCTATTTACATTTTCTGGTCCAGTTGTTGCAACAATTATATAAGCCTTTCCTTCCCTAAAATTTCTTATTTCTCTCTGGTGCTAGATCTTTCCAGGAAATCCATATGTAATGTGCTATAATATTTGAACAGTAAAATTTTTAAAGAACAAGTATCCAATTCTACAAACAGTAAAGTACACTCCTCTCTGCAAGTTTATGCAAGCAGATGTAGGAGAAAGCAGGTGTCAGATGACCATGGGGATTATGGCTTTATCCTATATAATTTAAGGAATCCTATGGAAATGTCAGGAGCCATGGTGTTACAGTGGCTAAGTACTCAGCTGCTAACTAAAATGCAGGTAGCTCAAACCTAGCAGCCATCCAGAAGGAGGAGGATACAGCAGACAGCTTAGTCTTACAAACCCTATGAGGCAATTCCCCTGTGTCTTAAAAGGTCACTAGCTGTTAGCTTTATGGAAACCCTCAAAGGTCTCCCTAGCTCCTTTTTAATGCTATTTCAAAATTAGAAATTTTATTTTCTATGGGCAGTGAAGCCTTTTTTGGCTTCATCAACCTTATATAAAATACGAATAACTATGTGTCACTTATCATAACGAAATAGCCTTCTCAGAAGAATGGGAATTTCCAAACACTTAATTGTGCTCATTCAGACCTGTATATGGAGCAAGAGGCAGTTGTGTAAACAGAAAAGGGAATATTGCTTGGCTTAAAACCAAGAGAGTTGTGTATCAGGGTTGTATCCTTTCGTTATATTTATTTTATCTGGATGCTGAGCAAATAATCAAAGAAGCTGAAGTAAATGAAGAAGAACATGGCATCAGGATTGGGGGAAGGCTGATTCACAACCTGAAATCTGTAGATGGCACAATCTTGCTTGCTGAAGGTGAGGAGAGCTTGAAGCCCTTACTGAGGCAGATCAAAAATTGCAACGTTCGGTATGGATTACAATTGAACATAAACAAAGAAAATCACAATCCTCAGAACTGGACCAGTAGGTGACATCATAATAACAGGAGAAGAGATGGGCATTGTCAAGAATGTCATCTTGCTCATGGAAACAGCAGTTGAGTTCAAATGACGCATTGCCCTGGGTAGCTCTTTGGAGTGTTGAAAAGGAAGGATGTCACTTAGAAGAATAAGGTGCACCTGACTAAGTCATAGTATTTTCAATTGGCTCATGTACATATGTGAAGTTAGCATGGAATAGTGAGCACTAAAGAAGAATCGGTGCACTTAAATCATGGTGCTGGTGAAGACTATTAAAAGTTTCATGGACTGCCAAAAGAACAAACAAATCATTTTTGGAAGTACAGCCAGAATGTTCCTTGAGCAAGAAAGGTGAGACTTCATCTCATGTATTATGGACATGTTATCAGGAGTAACCGGTCCCTGAAAAAGAACATCATGCTCGGAGGATAGAGGAGTCACAAAAAAAGGGGAAGACCCTTAACAAGATGGACTTACATGGTGGCTGCCACAATCAGCTCAAGCATAACAACAGAGAGGACCATGCGAGCCAGCCAGTGTTTTGTTCTGGACAACAGAACATTGAGTCAGAGCCTGCTCTACAGCACCGAGTGATGACAACAGACCCAGCGCTGAATGGAGGTAGCAGAGTTCAGTGATAGAATTCTCACCTTCTACCAAAGAGACCTCGATTTGAATCTGGCCAGTGCACCTCATACACAGCCATCACCCATCTGTCTCCACAAGGAGGCTTCTATTTTACTATAGTAGTGAGCAGACTTCAAATGGCACTTCCAGGCTAACAAGGACTGGCCAATCTACTTCCAAAAATCAGCCAATGAAAACCCCGTGGATCCTAGTCTGATCCACAAGCAATCACAGACATAGTGCCGGGCCAGGCAGCATATTTTCCCTCTTCTGCTTCCAGAGAACATGTGACCATCTAATAGATTTAAAAGAGACCTCACACGGAGTCATTGGTCAGGCTGCCGGCCAGATGCATCATCTGTCCCACAGGGTTCACAACCTCCCTCCACAAGTTTTACATATGAAACAAGGTCTTGGGAATCTCTCTTAGGATCTATATTCACGGTTCACGAATTACACTGTGTTCCATGGTGAATAGTCACTCCCTGGGAGCGGTGGACATTTCCATTCCCTGGAGTGGCCCCACAAGAGTAATTGCCAAGAGACTTGAATATATCAGCTAGTCAGCTTCTGTCTTCCATTATATCTTGCCACAAAGCTGTGGCTATTATTATCTGGCATTATTATCAGGCAGTCCCATATGCAATGGGATTAGATTGTTGTGATCCCCGGAGTTTTCTATTTTTGTAGAAATTATTTGGTGGTGGTGGTGATGATGTTGGGCTATGCATGGTAAGCATGCCAGTGTAACAATTCCTCCACGTTGTACAATTATTCTCTTTTTTGAGTTGTTCCTTTGGATTAACATAAATGCAATGCCCTCTAAAGTTCCCGTCTAATCTTGCAGGTTGTATTGTTCATTTTATCCCATGGAGATAGATCTTAAAAGAGCATAACACTCCAGGCAGGTATCCCTGGCTAGCTAAAGGCTCCATAGCGTTTTCACTGGCTTTCTGACGTAGATGGCTAGGCCTTTCTTCCTAGGTTGTTGTTTTTGTGTGTGTGTTCTCATAGAGAAGCTCCGTTAAAACCTATTCATCCTCACAGCAGCACCTAGCCTCCAATTAAAACCATTTGTTTTAATAAACTTGGTTTTATATGTCATAATTTGCTTTCTGAAGATGCATATTATGCTCAGGGAGCAACAATTAAGATATGTAAAGTCTTGTGTGGTGGAGAGACATATTGCATAATTTAATTGTGCTATTATTTTCCATTTCAACTTATTCCATTTGTTCTACAACCCAGTTTTCTGTGTGTATGTGCATATGTTCACAGGAAGACATTTATAGTCATCTTACTACCGTTGTACAGAATTCAGATATCTTGGATGATGCAATTGTGCAGCAATTGATTTATTATGCTTCTAAGGACATGAGAGACAACAATGTAAGTGTTTTTGTTTTGTCTTGTTTTATTACTTGCGATATCATATCATTCTATATTTCAATCATGTCATGTAGAATTGTACAATTGCAACCACAATCATTTCCAAACAATCTTTGTCTACATGGACTCCTTGCCAGCCTCTCCCTTTTTCCCCACCTCCACCACTGTACCCTGAACCCCTTATTCTACTTGTTATCCCTATAGGTTCATCAATCCTGGGTTTCATATACCGAAAAACGGAAATGCATATACCACAGCTTCAGGAGGGTGACCTCCATTAACATCACACCTTTGAGATACACTCTAATATTAACAAACAAATCACACAAAACAATACAAACCAGAAATATAGAAAATTTTGGAAACCAGATCAGGTCCAACCAGCATCATAGGGGGGGATCTACTGACAAAGTTATAACTGTCCAGGTCAGATTTATGCCTTTGGTCTTCTATATTCCTCTCTCCCAAGCACTCCACTTAGTCACCACTTTGCTCTCATCCCTCAACTTTAGATAGGGCGAGTTTGCCAGAGGACTATTTCTTATGTAGCTCCACCCATGTATCTTGGGCTCCCAGTTTTTTTTACAGTGAGTGAGAAGCAAGGCCCATAACAAAGTTTTTAAGTTCCCAATTTTGTCCACGTGGCTGACCATTGACTTTTTCTACATTGGTGCTATGACCCGGGATCCCTTTGATTTGTTCTCCTTACATAATCCAGTTATTAATCCTAAACTGAATCAAAGCCATGAGACACTGGAGAGGTTGTATAGCCCGACCCACTATGAAATGAGGAAGTTATTTCTCAGGAAAAACATAAAAATAAGAATATTTTTCAAAGTAACACAGCTATCTATTGATAAAACATGTAGCTAGAATTTATAGTTTCTTGACTTGCATGTGAATTCTTGCCTTTTTATGTCTCCAGGACATTGTCTCTGAAAACTAATTTGTAGAATAATTTGAGTCCTAGGATGACGCTATTTACCTCTAGAAAGAATTTTCATTTGTTCCTGCCAGTGGCACTAAAGATCTATGATCAGGTTCAGAACCTGAGAATCCCAGAGCCACTTAGGAGACTCTCAGCTGTGATTACAATCCACTGAGGACTCGCTCGCTTTCAGTTAAATTTTACATCTAAGGACAGCCCTTTGGGAACTTAGTCCACAAAAGTGATGGGTGGAGTTGCCCTAGCTTACTGTTGGTGGATCTTGAACTTGATATTTCCAAAATGCCACAAAGCAGACTACAATATGGAACTCATCTCTAGATTCCTTTTATTTTCCATAAGTGAACTCAATAACTTCGCTCAATGCTGTTAGCTGTTTAGTGCTTTTGAAAAATATACCTTAAGACTATTATCCAGGTCTTTTATTATCCTCAGCAAAATGGGTTGATCAAATTTACATAGTCCACTGTTACTAGGAGCAGACGTCCCTCTCAAGAGCTCCAATTTTAACAATTGTTAGGCTGTGACATTTCTGAAATCGAAATCTCTTCACTCTCCCAGTTTCCCTAGCGATTCCCTTTACTCTGTCAACTTCACTAATTCCTATCACTTACACACAAAGATAATCCTATGCCCGTGGTACCTGAGCAAATAGCAAGAAAACGTGTATTGACCTCAAATTCACAAAATCCCTATTACAACATGATTTTTATGTACGTTCAGATCAGCTCTGCTTTCCCCGCTGCTGACATCTGACCTGGAGTGTCTCCACCCCCATCCCACCCGCCCTTGGCTTTGTCGCTGCTCTTTCCCATTGCGCAGTTTCCCCTTCCCGGGCGCACTCCTCCTCTCCAATTCGTGATTTGGGTTTTGCTTGCTCCCTCAGATCCTCCGCGAAGTCCGAATGCTGGCTGGGGAGGTCTTGGTGTCCCTGGCTGCGCACGATTTCAACTCTGTGATGTACGAAGTGCAAAATAACTTCAGGATCCTGGAGCTGCCAAATGAATTTGTTGTGCTCGCTCTGGCTGAACTGGCAACCAGCTATGGTATACAGGGAATTCTAGCCTTACTTTCTCTCTTAAAATACCCACCTCTAGTTACCTAAAACCTAATGGGAACAAGGAAATTCGGAGAGAGTCTCTCAGCCGTCTGTCCTATTCAAGAATACCGAGAGAGGCATGGGGGCAGTTAATTTTGCATAGATGAGTCTGCTGATCAGATACTGTTAATCCACCCTGTTCTGAGTCTGCCTAGACTCTCCCACCCTTACTCGCCTTCCTTTTCATCTAGCCCTGGACTTGCATAAGCATATTTTTCACACAGTATATTCTGTAAACCATTAAACCCTTACTTATCTATCATAAGGGTTGCCTATTACTTGGCTTCACAGATATTTATTGAACACCTATTGCATGTACTAATGAGCTCTGGCAGAACTATGAATTTAGCATTGAGCTGATGATCCCAAGGTCAGCAGTTCAAACCCACTAGCCACTCTGTGGAAGATGCAGTTTTCTAATGCCTTAAGATTTAGAAATTCTACAGTGGACTTGGGGGAGGAGACTGGTTGGTTATATGTATTATCATTCTAGGCAGGTTTGATATCACATGTGCTAGGCCCTGGCATCAGAAGCAAGTTCTGGTGGGGCAGATTGACAGTAGTAAAATAATAATCAAAATAAGGCATTGCCACTAAACAGCAGGTACAGTTGACTATATAGGTAATGTTTTATTTTACACCCAGTGACTCTGCCTTCCTTTTCTAACCGCAGCCTGGCATTGAGGCAGGGCACAGGGACTGAGGAGTTCTTCCTCCTCCAAGAGCAACAGCCCAGGCTCTGTGTTGGCATGAGGAGAGGAAGGGGTGAAGACAATGACTCTTCTCTCGCCTCTCTCCGCAGTGTCTCAGAGCATTCCTTTCATGATGATGACTCTGCTCACCATGCAAACCATGCTCAGGCTGGCCGAGGAGGAAAGGATGAAGGAAGCTTTCTGCGTTGGTGGGTGTCCCTGTGCCGTCCTCTTCCCCTAAGACTATAGACTGAGCTATGAATTCAGCAAATGGCTGTTTCTCCTTTTGCTTTAGTCTTGCCTTTACTCGTGGTAATGTAGCTTTTTCATGCCTACCACATGGGATGCTCTCTGAAGGAATTTTTTTTACCCAATCCTCACAGCCACTTTGCAAAATAGCTGTAATTGGGCTATTTTACAGACAAGAAACTGAGGTCCAAGAAAGTTAAGCAGTTTTTCCAAGCTGGTAATACAGTCATTGAGATGCACTGGTAGCATTCAAAGCCAAATCCATATGGTCACCCCATCTAGTCTCTCTCTCTTTCCACTGCCACATAAGACCTATTTCTCTGGGAGTCCTTCTTTCATCGTATTATACTTTATATGTGATGCTTGTGAGAGCATACCAGCTCTTAGAAATGGACTAAATGCTGGCATTCGATTATAATGTAATATAACAATAATGATGAGGAAACAACCTAATCAAAATACAGTCACTCCTCAAAAGTCAAATAAACCAAAGAGAAGAGGTAAAATTTTAAATCTATCTATAGTAAATATTTTATAGTATGTGTGCTTATAGCATGTGTTTTATTTAATATAAACCAAACTTAAAATGCATCTGTAGTAATCAAGTTATAGAAGAATGTGTCCAGGGATTCCAGGAAGAAAGCCTTTCCAATTTAGGGGAAAGGCTTCTTTGATGGATCTGCAGAGCTGACCTTTTATCTGCACCAGGTGACCATGACCTCCTCCCAGCCTGTTTCACCTCTGGGAAAACATCAGATGATGCCACTGTTAAGATACTTTCTACAATTGATACACCCCCGTTTTAATATTTTATATTTAAAATCCCGTTTTCCTTTCTTTTTTTCTTCAGTGTCTTCTTTACCCAGAAACCACGTCAATCCCATCCTATTATACTTCTTTTCTCTTCATCTATCCTCATTGAAGTTAATATTTTTATCTGACATATATTTAGAATTTACTGTGTGCCTATGATCTATCCTAAATATGAAAGTATGACTCAAGAACTTGAATAACTATACCACATTATTCCACCTCACTAGTTTTTTTAATATCCCCACTTGCTGTAATAATTAATAGTGTGACCTTGCAAAGAAACATTAATTTCTAAAAACATGCTTACCCCCAATCTTAATAACAAGGAAAGCAAAGCAGGACCTCATTATGGCAATTAATAATAGATTCTCTCGTTTTATGTTATAAAGTTATCTAAGTATCCTTTGTCCTAAAGCAATTTATGCATGATGGCTAAAAAGGAAAAGAGATGAAATGTAAGTGGCTTTCATATACTTATCACTCTATCAATCGACACAGAAGCAGATATCATGCTGGTTACAATGAATATCGTTCATGGACAAAACACCATCCATTTCCTCCCGTTGCACAGGGGTCAATGGAGGGAGGACACACACAAAACGGTCATAAAGTATGACAGGAACCCCTCAAAGAAACTGAAAGGAGTGTGGAGTGAAGACGGCCAGCTCTAGAACTGAAACACGCAGGATCTCCGAAGGGCTCTCTTTTCCAGAGTAATCTTTGTGTGAAGTGTCTTTAAAGAAGTGAACAATGGATTTTCTTTTTCATCCCATAAAATGAGTAGCATAAGAGGAGGGTTGGAATAAAAATATCACAATTTTTTAATGCATGTGATGCCAGTATATATGGATAAGTGACCAAAATGATTTTTTGAGATAAAAAAGTATTTTTTTGTTTTATCGAATTAACATATACACACTAAAACGAATACAAATCAAAACTGTGCAGATTGGTGCATTATCACAGTGACATAGCCCTTTTACTACCACTCAGGTCCAGACATGAAACATCCCCATCCCCGGAAATCACCCCTTGTTTTGCCTTATAATCACCACCTTCCCCCTTCCCCACAAAGGTCATCACCATCTTGACTTCTAATGTCATAGGTTACTTCTGTGTGTAAAATCCATACATGCTGTTTTGTGTAGTCATGGTTAATTTTCATTGCTGCATTCCATTGTATGCCTTTTTTACAATTTATCCATTCTACCTGTTGTCAAACACTTACATTATCTCTATTATTGACTATACCAATCGCTAAACTAATGACACTATCAAATCATTTGTGGTTACACTTTGGGCTGCTAACCACAAGGTCAGCAGTTCAAGGGAACCAGCCAGATCCACAGGGGAAGGATGAGGCTTTCCACTCCTGTGAAGATTTATAGACTCAAACTCTCACAGGGGCAATTCTATCTTGCCCTACACAGTCACTATGAGTCAGCATTGACTTCTCTAACATAAAATGATTAAAATGTCTCTAAAGTGAACCAGAGACAAATATAATTCATAGATTCATGAATGGATTTGGGACTTGCACTTAATTCTAGCTCCAATCTAAGAGCAATTAGTTCTTAGGACATGGCCCTGCTTGATGCACAACCTCTTAAATAGATCACTTAAGACAAGAGTGCTATAGCAAAGTGTGGTGAAGAAATGAGATGGTACCCAGCTATCAGAAAGAATAGTGCCTGGGGTCTTAAAGCCTTTTTTTCCAAAACAGTCATCTAAGTGAGACATCGATGAAGTCTACATGGAAGAAACACACCAGCCTCTGTAATCCAAGGGTTGTAAATAACATAATCCAAATCTAAAATAGGGAATGGTATCTGAGCTTGAACTGTGAATACCTGATTTGCAGAAGGCTGTGTATGTCAGTGGAATCCCAAAATCCACTTGCAAGGTCCACGCATGGGTTAAACCTCCAGTGAATCCCCTCTGATCAACGTTTAAAGATGTGAATAGTTTTGTCAAAATGTAATATTTTATAAGTTTATCTCTCTTTGATCCATTTTAAAGCTGTTTCGGTTGTTGTTGTTGTTGTTTTAATGAAGGGAAAATACAAGTCATAAAATAAGCCATGATGAGTTCCTTCTGTCCATGGACCACCACGAATGTGAATAACCTTGCTATCATGTAGAATGCATTAGAAAGTGGATTGTTGTAGATGTAGTTAGGTTAAAATTTAACACCCTATCATTTTATCTCCCTTATGATCCATTTAAATTTGTTCTAGTTTTTAATATCTTCTGCTTTCTTTTCTACTGAGTTTTTTATCTGTTTTATTATTCTTTTTAGGTTTGTTTTTTCATATTTTTCTGTATATGAAATCTAGACTAGCTAAACCTATAGAGATAGGAACTGGATCAATGGTTTCTTGTGGGCATGCCAGGGGAAGTTGGGGAGAAATGAGGACCCAATAATGATGTGCACAAGAATGAAGAAAATGTTCTAAAACTGATTGTACAACTCTTCTCAATGTGATTGAACCATTAAATTGTACTATATGTGAATTATGGACCAATAAAATTGTTAAAATATAGTTAGAGTGTTTTTCTTAGTGGGGGGGGTAATACAAAAAACTACTATAAACATTCTTATGCATTATTTTGTACTTACATATATCCATTTCCAATAGTTGGATATCTAGGTGTAGGACTGCTGAGTCATGAGGCATATTCAATATCGGTAGACAATGCCAGAGAGTTTGCCAAAGCTTTTGTATCAATTCAGACTTCCACTAGCGATATGTCGCACCTATGTCTGGTCAACATTTGCCATTATCTATTATACATTTTAGCCATTCTCCATGGTATGTAGTAGTATCCCATTATGCTTTTCATTTTCATTTCACTACTGTGATGATGCACATTTACATGTTTATTTGATATAGTCCTCAGATTTTAGAGAAACTGTTGAACCTTTGAAGACCGCTAGGAGTCTAGGGATTAAAGCACTCAACTGTATTGTGAACACACTGTTGCTGCACTAGTGAGAGATGTGACAGTCAATCTCTTTCAGTAAGAGTTACACCGCAGGAAACCCTGGGAGGCTGGTCTAGGCTATCACCTGGGGTCATTGTGCATCAGAATCAACTGGATTGCAGCAGGTTTAAATTTTTTATTTGTTTTATTTCACGTTTACTAATCATCAGTACTCCTTGCTCTACATTTATTTTCTTGTCCTTCCCATCTTTGTAATTTTCATAATTTATGGTTGTGTTTTTAAAATGCAGCCCTTGAAAAGTTCAGCAAAGCCATCTACAAGTACGTCAACCACTGGAGAGATTTCCCCTATCCAAGATTGGATGTCAATCGACTCTCGGATAAGATCTTCATGTTGTTCCGGTATATAATGGAAAAGTGGGCCACTGTGACCCCAACCATGAATGTAAGTAGAGACCTTGGGTGCCTCAAGCTAGCTCTTATTCAATATGACCTGAACTTTCTGTTCTCTTTTTGCCATAATAAGTAAACTAGATTTTAGAACGCTGAAGATGATATTCTATCAGTTTATCAAATGCCTTTACCTATTCTTCCCCACCTATTTCAAAGCACTATTGGTTCATCCAACTAATATTTATTAAATTCCTATGATATCCTAAACACTATTCTAGATACTAGGAAAGCAATGGGGATAATAAACCAAAATCCTGTCTTTGCCGAAATAATATTTCAATGTGTAGAGAAATTGATGAACAAGATATGATAAGTAAAATATAAATAATCTTAAAAGGTATTTTATGCTTTATATATCATAATTTACATATGAGCCTCGTCATTGATTGGGAAAAACTATAGTCCAAAGAAAGTCCCTATGTCTGTCGGACAGGGCAAGAAATGACAAAATACCCATTTATAAACTATCAAGGGCTCATGCGGGAGGGGGGAGCGGGGAGGGAGGGGAAAAATGAGGACCTAATGTCGGGGGTTTAAATGGAGAGAAAATGTTTTGAGAAACGATGTACAAATGTGCTTTACACAATTGATGTGTATATGGACTGGGATAACAGTTGTATGAGCCCCTAATAAAATGTTAAAAAAATAAAATAAAATAAAATCCTGGAGACTTTTAAAAAAAAGAAAGTCCCTATGTCTATGAATTACAAAGTCAAGTAAAACCACATCTAATGAATATACTACTTCCAAATAAAATAAGATTATGTGAAGAATAGTTTATAAATTGCATGCACATATATAGTTCCATTGATACCTTGTTGAAAACAAACTTTTTATTGTAATTTTGGTGACAGTTTACAAAAACATATTGAATTTCAATCAGCAATTCATGCACATTATATTTTGTGACACTGATTGCAATCCTCACAAGGTAACACTCCTCTTCACACTCTGGCCCTGTGTACTCATTCACATGCTGCCCTTTTGAATCTGTAAGTGGTTCTAAGGGTTGTAATTCTCCGTGGTGTCATGGTTCACTTTACAAGCCTATCGTTGGGGTGAGCGAAGTTCCATGCCTGTACGTGCTTAACAGGCACAGTTCGGGTAGTTTCTTTAGACCAGCCAACTGGCTTTTCTCTGATTTCGTGCTTTGTTCCACACTTTCATACAACTCCTCGAACTTCTATTGTGATGTCTTTCAGTGCAGTCATCCAAGGGAGCCAGGTGCCACCTAATGTTTCTGGTGTCAGGGTCTTAAAGACTGAGGTTTGCGTGGTCAAATTAGTTCTTTCGAATAATTGTTTCCGGTAAATTTTTATTTTCAGGATTCTTCTTTGCTTTGGATGGGAAGAGATAGAGACTGGTGTCCTAGGTGGTCACTACGAAGTTTTTCAGACCCATTCCTATTCCACGAATTAGGATAGAGAACATTTTCTCTCTGGACTATGTTATGTCAAGAGGCTCCATGCCTAGAAACTCATTAACTTCATTCTTTGGTTAGAACTAACACATTTTCTGAACTTTGGCCATATACTCTACTATATTTATAGATCTATTTTCAGCACATATAAATACACATGTAGCTATATCTCTGGCAAACCTGCATATATATTCATGGATCTAGTTTAATTTGCCTTCCTAATCCTGCTCATATTATATTCAGGTTCCACTAGAAGACTTTTTATTACTGTTTTTCAGGAAGTGTGAATATTAATATTTACCCTTTTTGCCAAGATCCATCTCAGATCTGCAATGAGATCCTTTTTGTTTCATATCTGGCCTGATCCTCTGGTAGCACCTTACCAATGTACTATTGCAACCTTCTTGGATAATCTTCAGCAAAATTTTACTTGTATGTGATATCAATGATATTCGGAAAAGTATAAATCAGGATTGTATCCTCTCACTGTACTTATTCAAAGTATGCTGATAAAATAATCAGATAATCTGGCTTATATGAAGAAAAATATTGTGTCAGGATTTGAGTTAGTTAATTGTGCCAGCCTGGCCGATAATCACATGTGGTGCTGGTTGAAAGGCGGAGGGATAAATGGGTGGTGAG